TCATACAAGACAAACACAACCACCTTCTTTAGATTTAAGAGAAGAAGGTGAAAGATCTGGTTCATTTTCTTTATTATTATTTTCCATTGTAAGTATGGCTGCATCTTTTATACTACCTTTTCTAGTAACTTCTTCTGTCTCAATTCCCTTTAAATTTGATTGGAAACAACTTTTGAGATTACCTTGGGGATTTTTATCTTTACCAAGATTATGGACTGTATCCCATTTTATTTTTGCTTTCGGAATGTTGGCTACTTGGGGTGTTACAAATATTTTTCAAGCTGATTTAGTAATTGCTTTATGTGGTATATCTTGGGCTGTTGCTATGTGGGCTCCTTTTTCAATTATCGGTGAATTTGCTTCTAAAAGAACTAAAGTTGATGATACCAGTAATACTTTTCCTATTACTCCATCAACTACTACTTCTAGAAATGCTTCTTTAACAAGATTAGTTAGTCCTGTACATAGAGTTGATGATGATGGTGTTGAATATGAAGAATTGGCAAATATTCGTGAAATTTCCGTGATAGATGAAAATGATAATACCGAAGATGCTCAATTTTTGGATCAAAGTCAATCTGATGATACTTCATTTCGAAGCGGTAGATCTACTCGTAATGATTCTTCTAATAACGGTTCGGATGCTGGAGTATTATTAGGAATTCATAATATATATATTGTCATACCACAATTCATTGCTACTTTCTTTAGTAGCGTAGCTTTCGCTATATTAGAAGGTCCTACTAGCAATCATTTTGCTGATCATGTTGCGGATGGTAATAATGGAACTACAAATGATCCAATGAATTCACAATCACATGGTGAATTAAATGCTGGTGCTGATTCTATCGGGTTTGTGCTAAGGTGTGGTGGTTGTATGGCTATTGTAGCTGGAGTTTTGAGTATGAGGTTGTGGAAATCAAAATGAAATCGTCCAATTTTTTTTTTTCTTAAAAAGTTTATTTATAGATCTTAGAATATGAGAATATGACGGGTAGAAATTAATTTGATTTTTGGTTTGAGAAAAGTTTTAAGTTTTAAATTGGTATTTTTAATGATTTTTAGAAATAAATTTTTTTTTTTTTAATGTAATTTTTTATCGTTACGTAATAAGTTTGAAAAAAAACATAATTAATAATTGAAATATAATTCATTATTATATTTTTCAAAAAATATAGATAGTTTAGATTATATAGTTGTTATAATTTGTGTGTAAATCTACAATATTAGATGTAGCAACTAGTATAAACCTCTAGTAAAATTACTGTACTTTGATAAAAATTATAAATACGACTAGTTGTATTTTTATTTCTATAGTTGGAACAGTAAACAAATCCAATAATAACTATTACGTAATGGTTATTTCACGTTTTATCATAGATAAACATCACGGATCAGTCGAGATATTATGCAGTATTGTGGCGTAGCCACAATGATGCATGATATCGAGACTGATTCGGGATGTTTCATGATGTCGACGACAAATACGTGTAATAACTGATTTATTACACCCATGACTTTATAACTATTATTTTCACAAGATTTTCACGGCTTTTCTTCATGCAAAATAAAATTTCTTTCTTTTAAAATCCCTTTCTTGGTTATATTCTTTAAAGA